AACGGCGAGAATACCAACAATACCGATACGCCATCGAGGGACAAGCAGGAATGATAGACGAGTACCTGGCAAATACACCACCTGCGCCAGACCTTGCGACACCCGAATTATGCGAGCTCAGAAATCAAGTGCGGAAGGTTATCCAAGAGTTGGAGAAAAACGAAATTTGCCGCCGACGACAAGTTCGAATGGTGGAGAATTTCCGTGTGCCTGATCCAACAAGCGACGGTGACCAAGAGTTGGTCACATTATTGGCCTCAGTAGAATGGGGATGCGCTAACGAAGAGGAACGACGGCCCTTCAAGATAATGCTAGAGTTTGGTCCTGACGGGGCGTACGTCGAGACACACACGGCAGAACATGACGAGGAACGGGCCCGGCAACCAACACAAAAGGACGACGGGGCTAAACAAACAACCGCGACGGGCAAAACAACGCCCAAACGAAAGGTTGAGGAAAAGAGACACGAGGCCCAGCCTAAAGGAATGGATGACAGCGACGCCGAAGTCCAATCAATCTCGAGCGAAGCCCTTAAGAAAAGGCCACCCACACCGGGAGCGTCACTCATGCAATCAAGCAGCCGCCCTGAGAAGCGTTCTCAGCCGGAAGGAAAGGACGCCACGGAAACAGCGGGCATATATATGATACAGATAGACTCAGTATCCGAGGCGGAGACAGTGGTAGAACCGCCGAGAGCTACAGCGTCAAACACGTTCCAGCACCCAACGAAACCGAAGGAGCAGATCGTTATAGGGGTGAGCGAGCGGAAGGCAGCAAAAACGGCCAACAAGCGCAATCGCGAGCTCCAAGAAGCGGAGAAACGCGGGACAAAGCGCGAGAAGACGGACCGTCAACGACGCCGCGATGAAGACAAGCGCCGCGCCAAAGCGAAGCGCCGCAATCGCGAGGAAAAACGAAGCTTGACGCGGGACGAGACTTCCGGCGCCAAGCTGACGGGGAGTATGCGACCGAGCACTTCACTACAGCCGCGTCGCCTGATTAAACAATCACCCCGGGTAATACTGCGCAGGTTGCCGGATGCGGAGCCACGCGCGGCACAGCAGGAACGAGCGGTGGAAGCAACGCAGCCGCCTCATGCAGACCCGGCAGCGACGTCCGTGCCAAGGGAGACTGAACTCCCATGTATGCCGCCCACGCCGTTGATGTCGGCACTACAGTTGCCTGTAATGACTCCCGCGCTTCCTCCGATTACAGACTCGATCGCGGAATTCATAAATTACAAGTTCCCGATCGGTCCGGTAGAACAGCCTTCCGACGACTTCGAGTCGCCGTCGGGAGAAAGTGAGAGCGAGGATGACGAGGCTTAGAAGCCGGTATAGGGAGAGACGGCTCGTCAGTTGTCACATGTATATATACAAATACACGTTTTGTTTCCATTTTTTGAGTAATATTAATTTAGTTTAGACAACTTGCGTGACAGAATTGTCAGTTATTTTATTTTCAGTATATTTTCAGTTATGCCATGAAAGACATTATTTTGGGGTTACACTTACTGCGTTGTTGAATAATATAGAGTTAAGTTGTATTGACAGCCTATACGGCGTGATAGATTTAGTTTGCGTATCGATAAAACACACGATCGGCAAGACGGCAGAGACCGCACATAGATTTTAGTTTCGAATTATTTCCGGCCGATCGGTACAAAACCACGTTCAGTTCATAGTTTAACTTACCGCCGATCGAAAAGGGTCTGATATAATTTAGCGATTGTCGGTAAAAAATTAGGCGATAATAATCGTATAAGGATAAACGCGTTTAAGCGGAACGCCGATAAACAGTTAGAGCGATAATCCGTATCGGGGGCACGGAGGATCATCCCTCGGACCCGGTACACGCGTTCATGAAGTGGACGCCAAGGAAACGCCAAGTTCGTGGACAAAAACATCTTCTCC